ATATTGATTCTGACTTTTCTACATCCGACTCACAGGTTTATCATTGCTTTGAGAAAAAAGATTATTAATTTTCCCCTTTTAGAAGTGAAGAAATCTGAAAAACAGGCTCAGGGCTTAACAGGTTAACAATAAACAAATGTCAAGTAAACTGAAACTGCCCTCTATTCTTTATGTTGTGCAGGCCCATCATTACTGCATTATTAATGCCACTGTGCCAGTCCTCCAGAGATATTTTGCAGACGAGGACCCCCGCCCTGACTTTCGGCTGGGCAGGGAGGCCACCCAGCAGCTCCTAGTGGCGCTGAAGACGGAGAGGCAACACGGATGGGGGCCAACTCTGGAGACCCTGGTGTTTCTGTTTTGGGTTGCAGTGGCTCCGCTTACAGAGTGGTCTCCCGTGTCTTCGATGTGTATCTGCCGTCCGTCCACAGGATGGTGGATGAGGTGGTGGCCTTCTTGCCCCAGTTTGTCCGTCTCCCGCGCGTGGAGGTGGTTGGTGATGGTTTTGCCCGGTTGGCTCACCACCAAGCCTTTCGCAAGGCAGCTGGGGTAATTGACAGCTGCCACATCCGAATCAAATGCCCTGGGGCCTCATTTATAGCAGCTTGCGTAGGATTGACGTGGGAAGGTTGCTTACGTAGTACAAAGCAAAAAAATAGGTGCAGAAATGTTCCGATTCACAAAACATTGCGTACCGGCGAGGGAAGTGCGTACGGTACTTCCTACGCCTGTTTCCCTTTATAAATCACAATCGACTCGTAACGCCCATATTTGCCTATAAATAGTCAAAGAAACGCCCATTCATTCATTCATTCTGACTGACTGCATGAAGAAGATCGCAGGAAATTACGACAGCACAGCTAAAAAAGACATCTCACACCGTGTCAGATTTTGGTTATTGTGGGGAGGTCGAGATAAATCATATTGTTTGGTGGATGCAGTTTGAACCAGAGTAGCAGCATGGAGGTCGGATCGTCACCAAAATAAATAAATAAGTGGTCCGAAAAAAGTTAATGACAAAAAAAATACACATAACCTTCCTCAGGCAGTGTGTTTGTCCCGGGGACAGGAGACCCCCCCTTGATGAGAAACTGTAAGAAATGATCGGGGAATCCCTCCGGAGTGGAGTCATGACGACTGGATCTGAATTATTTTGTTGTATTTGGTGGTTTGTGTTCCAGCTGTCGATCAGCAACTATATATCCATAATCCACCAGTTAAAGGAAATACAACTAATGTGTTGTGTTATATTAGCTGTACAATTTACCACATATGGTGTTCTTAGTTTCCATACCTCCTGTGTTTTACGAGTGACTTATCAAGTCTTGGCAAACGGCATAAAACACGATTAAACGTGATAGTATATGAAACCATGCTCGTATCTACAACCTATAGAAATGCAAAACGGCGTTAGTTTAGACGTTATTCTGTCCTCCTGCTTACCGCATCATTTATGAGAAAACATTTCATAACATTAACACAACATATTCGAGGTGGTTTCAAATAACATATCCGTATTTATTTATTTCTCCAAGTTATGTTTTTGTGTGCACTGAGGAGTCTCAAACAGGCGTTTGTTTAATCATTTTAAGATTGGCTTTAATCAATGTTTGAAAATGAATTCTTCATATTTGATAAATGAGAGGTAACATTTTATTTATGGTATTATTTCCACATATTTCTCTCCATTCTTCCTTCTGCCAACGGTGTCGCAGTTTCTCGTCTCTCCCGTTTGTGTGCTTAGTGCGTACGCATGGGTTAGAGTTTGCGTGGAGGACAGCACATTTTCCGGTCAAGTTAGTATTTTATAAATCGCAAACATTGCGTAGAAACTGGCGTACGCCATTTTTTCAGCGTATATCCCTTTATAAATGAGGCCCCAGGTGTCCCTGATGGTCATGACCACTTCAACAGGAAGCTGTTCCATTCAGTTGTGTTGCAGGGCGTCTGTGACCATCAGGGACACTTTGTGGACATTTGTGTGGGTTACCCAGGATCCTTGCTTGATGCACGGATCCTTAAGAACAGCTCCATCTACGCTAGGGGTACTTACCCTCCACCAGGGTATTTCATCCTAGCTGATGGTGGCTACCCATGTCTATAGGTACCCTTGGCCCTTATCACACCATATAAGAGGCCAGTGAGAGGCATGGCAGAACAACGGTTTAATTACCATCACTCCAGGGGTCGCTCAATCATTGAGCGGGCCTTTGGGGTGATGAAAACCCGCTTCAGGTGCATCTTCTTAGAAGCACTTGAAGTACATCATGAGTTTGTCCTCAAGGTAATGAATCATTCTAATGTTTCTGTAGCAAATTAGTTAATTGAAATCCTAATATCCTTATCCTGCTATACTAAGACTGTCTTAATGCCTAACAATTGCATAGTCACATAAAATACTATGCCTCACACTTTGTTTTGTCCTTTTTCTGCTCTGCCTTGTGCACAGGTTGTGACAGCCTGTGCAATTTTACACAATATATGTGTCGGGTTGGGGACGACCAACCTCCAGAAGATGCCGCCCTGGAGGAGGACAACCAGCCACCTACTGCGCATGAAGGTGGTGGGGAAAGTGAGAGTGGAGCAGCATGGCGGCCACCACCTCATCCACCACCCTTGTGAACGAGGTGTCCGCACTTGCTGTTGCTCCACTGGACCATGACTATTTTGCACAGGTAAAGAACATTGCTCAAATCCCATGTCACAATCTGCTTATGTACTTGAGTAACTGTATTTTGTAAAATGATCATCTCTCCAGGACTGAACCACTAAACTAACATAAAACGTTCTCCTGTTTGCAGCCTTGAAAAAGTTCTGGAGGATAAACTATGAAGGTAGATATGGTGCAAAATGCGAGAGCGTGTAAAACCTGATGTGAGCACTTGCAGAAAAGATATCTGAGCTTGTGTGCATACATTTACACTTGAATAAAATATCCACGTATCTGTGAACCACATTTGAAGTCACAGAAGAAAAAAAAAGGTTTGTAGTTGTAGAAAAAAAATGAACTTAGTGATGAAATGTTCACTTGCAGAAAAATATATATTTTTTAAATATATTTTCCATTACAACTGCAACTTGGTTATTACAACCTCTCAAATCAGTCATTACAACTTCACGAATCTGCTCTGTGGCAGTATAAATCGACGAATCTGCGGCCTTGACTTTTGCTACACTTCTTGCGATGAATGTGTCGCAAAAGTAATTTTCACCTGTAGATGTGGGGGGAGGGAGGGGGGTTGGAGCGGAGGGGCGGAGCTATCAGAACGACGAGGCTCGGGTCAGTCACAGTCACAGCCATAGTCAGGTCGAACCGGATGACTGCGGGGCTAACGGTCCGTGTCTTCATGCTTATATCGGACTATTGTGACTCGCTCTGCGGTTAAAACAGACGGTGCATGAATGCGGTTTTGCGGTAAGTGAAATTCGAGTACTTATTTATGTGTTTATGATTTTAATCAGCTACGTAATGAATGTTAAGGCTTGGGTTAGCGTATAAGCGAGTGGTAGCTACATCTGTGCTAACGATGCTAATCGTAGCCTGCAAGTTAAAACCATAGACTGTATAAAGGTTAAAACGAAATAGACAAGTGTTAAGCGTTAAGTGGGATAATACTGTAGAACAAACGGCTTCTGTTTGAGGTTGATAAAATAAGGTCATCCTTGTAACTTAGAGAGATATTTTATTATGCAGGTAGTAACTGTATGCATCGCTAAGGTTAATTGAAATCCGCTATGCTGAACTATGTAGACAAGCTAATTATGAACTTGCTTTACTTTCACGGAACACATTTATGGTGATAACAAATGTAACAAACATATTTTCTACGCCACTGAACATACTTACATTTAAATGTCTACTGCCTGGATTCAGCCATTGTTCGCCAAAGATTTTGGAAATTCGTCCGTGCGCAAAGAATTGTGGGTAATTTAAGACCGCCGATGATCCACATGAGCAGCCTTGAAATTTCCTGCAACGAAGGACTCAGTCCTCGGTAGAATTCCAAGGATCCTGGACATTGGAGTCCTTCGGCGGGATTCGATGACATAGCATCCTTGAAATAGTGGCTCTGAAGGATCCTTCCTTGACATTGAGAAACACCCATTGACACACTGCCTGAGGAAGGTTATGTGTATTTTTTTTGGTCATTCACTTTTTTCGGACCACTTATTTATTTATTTTGGTGAGGATCCGACCTCCATGCTGCTACTCTGGTTCAAACTGCATCCACCAAACAATATGATTTGTCTCCACCTCCCCTAAAGAACCAAAATCTGACTCGGTGTGAAAAGTATTTTTTAGATGTTCTGTCCTCATTTCCTGCGATCTTCTTTTTGCAGTCAGTCTGAATGAATATTAATACGGGCGTTTATTTGACTATTTATAGGCAAATATGGGCGTTACGTGAAGCCCGCAGAAGCTGCGCCGCATTTCGAGTTGATTGTGATTGTCCCGGCGTAGGACGTGCGTGCGCAGTGTTTTATAAATCGGAATATTTGTGTGCGTATGTACTTGCTTTGTCCTACGTACGCCACCTTCCCACGTGAATCCTACGCAAAGTTTTATAAATGAGGCCCCTGAACAGAGAATATGAACTGCTATCTAATGGAGATTCAATAAAGTCAGACTGAAGCATCCTTTGTGCTCCAGTCAGTCCTCTCAGTAAATACAGAGCTGAATCCAGATCAAATGCACGCTGAAGGCTCTTTGAGCAGGTTGTCTCTCACTGATCCTGCTGTTATGTTAAATGTTTGTTGTTTGTTGTTCATTTATTGTGTCTTGATATTTGTTTATGTTGATGTTACACATGGAGCTGCTGTGATGCAAGTCACATTTCAGACTTGATCTGACCATTAAAGTTTTATCGTATCGTATACAACAACGTTCTAACCTATATCTAACCATATTGGGCATTCATATTGTATTTTATAAACAGGTTGTGATCTTTCATTTGGGGATAACAGTGATAGGAATATATTGTGATGAAGTGCACACTGACCTGAGCTCCAGGGGTCTCTTTGTTCTCCTCCATGCTGCTCTCAGAGCTCCTTCTCCGGCTGTGTCTCTGAAATAATCAAGAAGAAGATGGCAGTGTTGGAAATGAAAATGCAACGGTTGGAAGCTAACGTGGAAGTGAATGGACTAGGTTGGAATGACACCACTTTACCAGTGCAAAAGAATGGAAAAGGGCATGCTAACTTACAGCTAGCTAGCAGCTACAAGGTTTCCAAGGAACAGCAGGGCTGTGTACCGGGTAATAAATCTACAAGTGGTAGTCCTCCCTCGAACTCTCTGGGTGCAAGGCCGAAGAGTAAATAATTTCCATGGGATTTGGGAGAACGAATAACAGGCAGAGCCCAGCGCTCTGAAATCTGTAATGCGACCGGCTGGCCTGCATTGTTATCACCCAGGAAGAGCGCCTCTTCAACCCCTATTCATACTAGGAAGCAGCCGTGGACAGCTGCTAAAGGGAGAACTACAAACAATCCTCCTAAACCACCAAGTGTGCCAATCCAGAACAGATACGCTCCACTGACACAGAACCGGAGATCTCTTTCTGATGAGCTGGATAACCTGTCCTCTTCACACAGCAGGGTAAGGACCAATAGCTACTCCAAAAGTAAAAGGCTAGAGGGAAAGCTAACGACTAGGCCTGAAACTCTGATTGTGGGTGACTCTGCTGTAAGTGATGTCAAATTCATTCACTACTACTTACATTTAATATCTAACTCCTTCAGCCTACTTTCAGCTGCACAAACCATTCCACTATTAACTTACTCAGCTATTTCAGGACATTGAGGCTATACATGTTGTTTATACCTTTTTTAAACCTTTTCTTTTAAATATTAGGTTCAAGGTTACTTTACAGATGTGGATGTGTGATGTGAAATATAATCAAGTGTTAAATCAGACTCTAGTTCCACCTCGAGTAAATTCACAAGCTACCCTGCAGTATACAAAGTCATTCAAACTAGCTGCACCTTTACCAGCTTTGAGAACACTTTCATGATCAATCAAGACAACTCAAGACAACCGACAGACACAACAAAACAAATGTACAGCTACTACGTAGGTTCATAGCAGAGGTGAGAAGTAACTAAGTACATTTACTCAAGAACTTAAGATTCCAGTCTACGAGAATCTTAGGTTATATACGTGTTAGAGCCAGTATTTTTGTTTTCATAAGAAAGGCCACCTAATTGTGACGTCTGTAGTCAACACACTATAAAAGACTACAATTCCCACAGCGCCTGCTCCAACTTGTCATCTACTAATATCTCCCAGTAACTTGGACCAGCATGTATTTATTGAATCACCTTTGTTGTACAGCCTGTGCTGAAACACTGTTTTATATGCAGGCTTTTATACTGTTTAAAGCAGTTTTAATACTGTATTTATACTATATTGATACTGTTTTCATACCGTTTTAAACACTGTTTGAATACAGTTTTTAATACTATATTAATACTGTTTTTATACTGTTTTTACCCCTGGCAGAAGCAGCTAGATCGCATCAGCTCCGGTTAGCTCCAGTTAGCTCCCATTAGCTCCCGATAGCTCTTGTTAGCTCCCGGTGCTAACTCACCTGAACGAAGGTTGTTGTCCGGGATCCAGCCATCCCGGTGTCTTCCCCCGGTGTCCCGGTGTCTCCTGAGGCCGCTAAACCCTCCCGGTTCTCCGGCAAATCCTCCTGAGCTGCGGAGGCCATGATGTCTGATGTTGTGGTGCCTGCCGTAAATATACTAGGACTGTCGCAAAATGTGAGGTGGCGGAGTACACTTAGTGACCGCCAGAGGGAGCCAAATACCTTATTAATGATAATTCAAGGTTCAAGGTTCAAGGTTCTTTATTGTCAATCTGACATAGCTACAGAGTAATTATGCAGTTGAAAATCTTATGTCACAGGCTTCTCCAACAATGCAACATAATAACATAACATAATAACAATAAGAGCAAGAGCAATACAAAAATAATAATAGTTATAAAAATGAAATAAAGTTATGATGTGGAATAGTGCAGTATGAGTCTATATACAAGTTATTGGAATGATATATATATATTAGGTATTAGATACATACTACTGAGTAGCAGTTGAATGTTTGAAGTTGTTTCAACAGTTCAATTTTTTAACAGTCTCACTGCCCGCGGGAAGAAACTGTCTCCGAATCTTCTTGTCCTTGCCAGGATGCTGCGGTAACGTCTGCCAGACGGCAACAGAAAGAACAGTTTGTGGCTGGGGTGATGGGGGTCTTTGATAATCCGTAGTGATTTCTTCCTGAGCCGCTGGGAGTAAAGGTCCTCCATGGATGGCAGCTCCGTCCTGGTGATGTGCTGTGCAGTTTTCACCACCCTCTGTAAAGCCTTACGATCGAGGTCGGTGCAGCTGCCGTACCAGGCCGTCATGCTGCCAGTGAGGATACTCTCTATCGTGCACCTGTAGAAGTTGCAGAGTATCCTGGAGTCCATTTTGAACCTCCTCAACCTGCGGAGGAAGAAGAGCCGCTGTCGAGCTTTCTTGGTGATGGTGGTGGTGTGAAGAGACCATGTCAGGTCCTCAGTGATGTGGACCCCAAGGAACCTGAAGCTTTTGACTCTCTCCACCGTAGTCCCATTGATGGCGATGGGGGCGTGTCCCTCTCCCTGCTGCTTCCTGTAGTCCACAATCAGCTCCTTTGTTTTGCTGATGTTGAGATGGAGGTTGTTCTCCTGGCACCAAGATGTCAGGTTTTTGACCTCCTCTCTGTACGCCGTCTCGTCATCGTCTGTGATCTGGCCGATGACGGTCGTGTCATCAGCAAACTTCACGATGGTGTTGGAGCTGTGTGTGGCCACGCAGTCGTGGGTGAACAGGGAGTAGAGGAGAGGGCTGAGCACGCAGCCTTGAGGGGCACCGGTGTTTAGAATCAGGGTGGAGGATGTGATATTTCCCACCTGCACTGCCTGGGGTCTGCCCGTCAGGAAGTTCAGGATCCAGTCGCAGAGGGCGCTGTTGAGCCCGAGGTCTCTGAGCTTGATGGCCAGCTTGGAGGGCACAATGGTGTTGAATGCTGAACTGTAGTCAATGAACAGCATTCTCACATATGTGTTCCTGTTCTTCGGGTCCAGGTGTGAGAGGGCAGTGTGGAGGGTGAGGGCTATGGCGTCGTCTGTGGACCTGTTTGCTCTGTAGGCAAACTGCAGGGGGTCCAGAGAGTCAGGGAGGGAGGAGGTGATGAATAATTTGACTAACCGCTCAAAGCACTTCATTATGATGGAGGTGAGTGCTACTGGGCGGTAGTCGTTATAATTATTAATAATAATAATAATAATAATAATAACAATAGATTACATTTTTATAGCACCTTTCAAGGGACCCAAGGCTGCTTATATATTATTATTATTATTATTATTATTATTATTATTATTGTTATAAGTATTATTATTATTATTATTAATAATAATGTAATCATTCATTATTTTAATACTGTTAGTTTTTTCAGTACAGGGGGCAGTGAAATTGTGTTTAAAAGAAAAACTACAATCCCATAATGCATTGCGGTTGTCCGTTTCTATCTTCCGGTCCACAGAAGCTGTATATAACAATAGAGTGGCGAAGTCCCTCCCCTTCCGGTGGACCTCCATGGGACCTTATTTCGGAAAAATTATGTATGGAAGTCAATGGAGAGAGAAAGATTATCTTTCGATCCCGTTTGAATTGTGCCACGAATTACACATATGTTGTTTGTCAATTTAAAAGATAATTTTGCAAGTCAAAAAAAAAAAAATGTGTCGTAAAACTGTGAAGTAACACATTTGTTTGTGTGAAATGCTCAATGAACTACATCTGATCTCTGGTCAACAACACACGTCACCAAGATGGCCGTCACTACTGTCTTGTCAACACAAGAGACTACCCTCACTATCACTACAATGAAACACGTCCTGAAGAATGTCATGCAAAGCTGCCTGCCTGCCTTCCTTTGATTCTCTCTGAACTGCCTGGTCGTTTTAATGTTTAATGTCAACCATTTGTGCAGATAGCATGAAGTAGAGAAGATCGCTAGCGTTAGCATTTCTCCCCCGGGCTTAAATTGTGTATTATAGAATGATCACACCGGTGACAGTATTCTTCAAAGGGTTCACGAAATATGACTACTACTCTTACTGTTTAACATTGTGGGTTACTTAATGTTACTTCATGTTAAGGCTAATAAAAATGACACGGCTGTAATGCTAACTAACGTGCTAGTGTAATAGATATGACAAGTCATGGTTGATGACCTTCCGGGTCTGTCCAGCAGAGGGCGCTTGTTGTTTGCCACTGTTGCATAATACATTAGACTTGAAGCAAACGAACAACGTCTCTGTTTCCTTGTCTGATATTTTCCCCATATTAGGTGAGTTCATCCGTGATAAATGTTATATATGTAGACTGACTGTGTGTAATATTAATGTGAAAAGCACACTGTTGGTGTGATAGTTGTTGGAGGGTATTTTTGGAGGGTTTTTCTGGGTTCTGTAATTGTTGTAGCTGTGAATGCTAGCTTTTCTGGCGCCATTAGCTATGCTAGCGCCGCTAGCTATGATAGTGCAGTTTAGCTCCAAGAAGGGGATTTTGTGTGTTAATTTGGATATGTATGTTTGTAGTGTGCATTTAAAAAGGGACATTTTGTGTGTTAAATTGGATGTATGTTTGCAGTACGTGCATTGTTAGTTATTGTTTTATGTCAAGAATCTATGTTTTGTATTATACAGTGTGCTATGTGTACCATGTGGTTGGTTGCATAATACATTAGACTTGAAGCAAACGAACAACGTCTCTGTTTCCTTGTCTGATATTTTCCCCATATTAGGGGCTCAACATTTGGAAGCGCTGCTGGGAGGTGTGTGCGTTGTGGATCGGCTGCTGCAAGAGGTAGATGTCCCCAACGCCATCCTTCATCATTTACCCAGACATTGAGAGCAGGTGGGGAACCGGCTACAGTGAGATCCTGACAACCTGAGGAGGGAGTTCATGCAATCTGAGGTGTTGCTATATACCAGGAAAGCTGCTACCAACCCCACATACGGTTAAAAGGGACCACATCACACCGTTTAACCCATGCTCTAATGCAGAAATGGAGTCAGAGATGGAAAAATTACAGCTAGAAATAATCGGAAAATTGTGTGGGCTCCCCAGAGACACCTTGGTAGAGTTATGTGACTTTCTAATCATCGCAGGTCCAGAGTTTGAGTTTGTTACAGGCAGGAGTCGAACAGCTCTCATGACATTGATTTCAAATCACATACAGAGGGAAGAGCTTGATGAGCTTGAGGATAAGGGAATGTCTGAACTCCTTCATTTTCAAGACAAAATGTCAGAACTCCAAGCTGTTACAAGTGACACACAAGTAAGTGTACAGGAAAGATTTGCAAATGAGGAAAAGATTAAGAAGGATCAAGAGCGGGAAAAGATAATGAAAGAAATTGAAGCCTTGCAGCTGCAGTTAGCAAGTACAACAACAGAGAAAGAGAAGAAAGTGAACAAAGAAACAAACAATATGTCTTCTAGCAAGGACACAGCACAGAGCACAGCCATCAGCCATGCACACCCCCCATGGTTTAAGGAATTAAAAATATCTGGCCAAATTGGTGAACATGGACAAAAAGATAAGCTTACTTTTTCAAGTTTAGCTCGCCAAATTGAACATGGACTAAGTAAAGGGTTTCCAGAACCTGAGATTGTGGATGCAGTGATAAGAGCCATTTCTCCTGGCATGCAGCTCCGTAGTTATTTGGAGGGGAAAATTAACTTGACCTTACCAACATTGAGACGTATACTCCGTTCCCATTACCAGGAGAAGAGTGCAACCGACCTCTATAAGCAGCTCACCTCTGAGGTTCAGGGCATCAAGGAAACCCCACAGAACTTCCTTATCCGAGCTTTTGACCTGAGACAGAAGATTTTGTTTGCCTCCCAAGAAGCTGAGTCAGGTCTCAAATATGATCCATGCTTAGTGCAGAACATGTTCCTTCACACTGTGTTAACTGGTCTCCAGAGTGATAATGTAAAACGTGATCTCCAACCATACCTTGAGCAGACTGACATCTCTGATGAACTGTTACTAGAGCGGATGAATGCAGCTTGTGCCTGTGAGCAAGAGACGCAGAGTAAAAGAAAATTGTTAGGACAACAACGCCCTGTCATGATACATGCAGCTCAGTCCAATGATGCTCCTGTTGAAAAGATAGAAAAGCAGTGTGCTCAGAAAAACATAGATACAATTTCCCCTATGGTACTCTCCCAGCTTAAAGAGATAAGATCTGAGATGGCTCTACTGAAAGATCTTAGAGCAGAAGTGTCTCAAATCAGAGAGTCTATACAGCAACAGCCACCAGCACAAGGGCCAGATCCCACATCAGTTCAGCAATTTCCAGGTCAGCAGAGGCAGGGACTGCCACAGGGACATTGGTTCACTCCTGGTCCGGGACACAGAGAAGAAAATGCACAATATCATCAGAGCTTTGACACACAGCGCAGCGTTCCACCACCAAACCGTGGGCGTATGAGGAGATGTTTTGGCTGTCAACAGCGTGGAACTGAACACTACTGCACGCACTGTTACAGATGTGGCAGCAGCGAACACTTTCTTGCTGGCTGTCGAGCTCCAGGGCAGAGACAGGTTGGATATAATCCTTTAAACGGGGAAGGGTCGCTCGCACGGGACAGGGAGTGACCACTGACACAGTAATGTCTC